TTTTAAAAAAAAAAAAAAAAAAAAAAAAAAAAAAAAAAAAAAAAAAAAAAAAAAAAAAAGAAAACCTGATGTGACTGAACATCTGAGAAGAGATTTAGATAACTGCCAGAGTTTGAAGTTGAATTAGTGATAAATACATAGGAAACTAAGCAAATGAAAAACATGATAATTAACAACTCTAGGGAGAAAAAAGTGTTCCACAAGAAAGGAAAAGCTGTCATATTTTACTACAAGGCTCAACTATGAATAGAGTCAAATTAGTGTGGACTGAGTAATGTAAACGCTGATTACTGATTTGACCAAAATTATGATGTAATGATAAGAGGAGGATGGAGGACAGGAAGATCTGGAGGGGAGGGAAGGGAGCTGAATCTTCATCTTCCTTCGTGGGAAGTGAATAGATAACGCCTAAAGCCAAAGCATCGACAAGTAGCAATACAACCATGCTGCTCAGAGACATGGAGGAAATACCAAAATCAATCAGCGAAAGGAGGTAAAAGCAGCTGCCTCTGGGGAAGAGTAAATGGAAAGAGTTGGTGGAGGACAGAAAATACTACAGAACGATCGACTCCAAAGTGTATGCATGTATAACTTTGATAACATTAAACATAAAACCAAACCAAAGAGAAAAAAGTGCAAATACACGTGACATTAAATTAAGTTATGAAGCATAAAAAGGAAATAAGCATCTGCGAACTCACCATCCGTCGCCAACCTGTTGAATCTATTTGTGCGTTCTCTCCATTCTCAGCCCCCCACCTCCCCCCAGAGGTAACCCTTATCCTGAATTTCATGTTTATCATCTCCTGGTTTTTCTTCACAGTGCTTCACGTAAATATGATTACCTAAACAACATGTAATTTTGTTTTGCCTGTTTCTTTTTTTAATTCAATTTAACTAAATTAAATTTATTTATTTTAATTTATTTATTTTTTGTGACTGGTAAGGGGATTGCAACCCTTGGCTTGGTGTCGCCCGCACCACGCTCAGCCAGTGAGCGCACCGGCCATCCCTATATAGGATCCGAACCCACGGCAGGAGCGCCGCTGTGCTCCCAGCGCCGCACTCTCCCGGGTGAGCCACGGGGTCGGCCCTATTTATTTATTTATTTTAATTTATCAATATACAATATATGTTTTGCCTGTCTCTGAACTTCATAAAAATGAAATCATACTACAAGAGTGTGGTCGGCAGCTTCAAAATGGCCCCCAACGTTCCCCCTCCTCCTGAGATCTTCACACACTTTAGTAATCTTTTCCTTTTGAGGGTGGGCTGGACCCAGGAACTTGTTTCTAACAAATAGAATATGGCAGAAGTGATGGGTTTTCTCCTCTCCAGTTAGATTATAATAAGACTGTGGCTTCTGTCTTGGGTGATCTCTCATTGTTCTCTTTTGGATCACTCTCCCTGGGAGAAGCCACCCACTGTATCATGGGACAAGCCTGTGGATAAGCCCACATAGCGAGGGGCCACAGCCTGCCAACTACCACATGAGTGAGCTTGGAAACAGATACTCATTAAGCTGAGCCTTGAGATGAGACCACAGCCCTGGCCCACAGTCTGACTCCATCTCAGGAGAGGCCTTGAGCCAGAGGTGCCCACTTACGCTGCACCTGAATCCCTGACCCATAACAACCATGAGATAGCAAATGTTTGTTGTTGCAAGCTGCTAAATGCTGGGGGAATTTGTTACACAGCAATAGATAACTAATACAATGAACTGTTCTATAAATTGTTTTTTTTTCCAGTCAACATATATGTTAACATTTGTGGCTATTGTGTATTTTCATTCCTGTATTGTATTTCATCATATGAACATGCCATGATTTATGCAGTCATTCACCTACTGACGGACATTTAGATGGTTTCCAGGTTTTTCCTCTAATGAGCAATACTGTTACAAACATTCTTAATCATAGCTCCCGACTTTAATTTTTGCCAAACTACTGGGTAAAATGGTATCTCACCTTTTACTTTGCATTTCCATGATAAAAGCTTAAGGATCCTTTCACATGTTTATTCATCGCTCACGTTTTCTATTCTGTGAAGTGCCATTCATGACTTTTGCCCACTTTTCTATTGGTTTGTTTTTGTCTATTTCTTACTGATTCTACGAGTTCTTTATATAGTCTAGATGACAAGAACTTTGTCAGTTGATGTGTTGCAAAGATCTTCTTCCAGGTTGTGCCCTGTATTTTTATTTTCTCTGT